ATTCTGCCATTGGAAAACCTAGTCTGGATCCTGCCCTTACCATCTACAACACTCAATCTGGCTTCCAGTGTTTTAAGTTCACTTTTGCTTCCATATAAATGTTGGTACCAATTAGCCTTGACTTTTTTCTTTACCATCCTTTTCAGATAAAGGACATGGATTTCACATTGTCCCCTGCCTACATTTTCATCTTGCCACAGGGAGAGGCATCTCAAGGGCAGAGCAACTGCTTGTCACACAGGAAGTCCCAGGTTCAATCTCTGGCATCTCTAGATAAAAGGATGAGGTGATGTGAGAGACCTCTGCCTGAGATCCTCAACAGCTGCTGCCAGTCAAAGTAGAGATACTTGATAGACTCTGTAGAACATAGCTTCATGTTTGTCATGTGTGTAATTTAATGTAAATAAACAATGTGTGTGTGTAAAGTGCTGTCAAGTTGCAGTGGACTGATGCTGACCCCAACAAGAGACTTTCAAGGCAAGTGAGAAGCAGAAGTGGTTTGCCATTGCCTTTCTCTGCAGAATCTTCCTTGGTGGTCCCCCATCCAAGTACGACCCCTGCTAGCTTCTGAGATCTGACGAAATCAGGCTATACCATGCTGCCTTCTCTCCAAATACATAATAGGCCCTTTTTATTATTGAGAGAGGAAGTTTTGAAGAACCAGCAAACTGTAATCGCCTAAAATTAAACTGGATGGAATGTTGAAGTTTTTTTTAAAAAAAGAAATTCAATAAAATAGAACATTGTTCACAGAGACCAGACAATGGAGATACAGAAAATCAGAACCATGCTTAGCACTGGAGCTGTACAATACATGTGTTCCACATGTGTCCTGGAACAGATGAATAAATAGGATTTGTGTGTGTGTGTGTTCCATAAAGAAAGTAAAGGAAAAGGAACACATTTTGACAAGAGATTTTAAGATAAAAAAATGTGGTCCTGATCTGAGTTCTGTGGCACAATAAACTCCAGAGAATCTTATGAAAATATGATGTGCCTTACCAACTTCAGGAGAAACCAGTTTCAGGTGTCTAAACTTTTGTTTCAAAATTTACTTGTGAGTGTTCAGAACCCTAGTGCAGGAGCATCCTATTATATTCTTTTAGGAGGAAGTGCTCTGCTTATAGAAAAAAATGGGAAGTGCCTGCATGATTCTGAATCATGTCCACAAACCAGTGGAGTAGGCTTTGGGACACTTAAGTAGTTCATAGTCAAGTTACAACGGTACAATCAATCCATGACAATAAACTGCATTGCAGCAGCTTTCAAGGACTGCAGCATGATTTATGGAGCAGATTAGGAACCAAGGAAGGGAGACAATAACTAATCACCAAACCTTTGAATAACTGAGATTGGGGAAATGGTATGGGAGGAAAGCACAAAACTCTTCCCACAGTGCCACTGCTCTGATCCAATTCAGACAGGCGCATGATTTTAGGTAAAAATGCAAACATCAGGGTATTCACCCAAATATCACATGTTTCATGGTCTTACAACAACATCTCTGTGTTAGACCCATAAGCAAGCATATGTACAAGCCCTTTCAACATTATAGTTTCAATCCTGGGACTGATGAGAACTCCTGTTAGTTATAAAGTAACTTTAGAAGTAAGCCTCAAAATAAATGGATTGGAGAATTAGTTTACTGTTGCACATACTGCACAATAAAGATACACCATCTATAACAGTTATTAATTTACATGAACCTGAAAAAAGGATTTCTTTGCAAACATGGCAGACTTGGAAAAGCGATTCACTGCCAACAAGCACACAAAGTGACCTTGAAAATTATAAAGGGGGGAAATGCATGATTCATGGCTGAAAGATGTAGGAATAGGAATCTATTTATATAGATTCAGAGCTATCAAAGTTCTATGAAACATATAACAATCAGTCTAACAAAGAAGTCTTTTTAGAAACTTTAAACTTCCTATGAATTGGCCACCCACAGTGTTTCTAAATAAAAAGCAATGTCTCCCTCTGGTATCATTCAAATGAGTTTAAAAGTTCAAAGAAAAAACTGTAGAGGAAAATAACAGAGAAAGTTGCTAAAACTTTCCAAGAAAATGTATTTAAAATTGTAACAAATATTTGGTAAATAGTGATATCTGATAAATCTACCTCTTGTGGGTCTCAAATCCAGTAGAGAAATTTCAGAAAATAGTGATTAAGCAATGAAATTCAACAGGAATGTTCTTGGATGCACCATTTCAGAGTTTTGAACAGCTTCATGATAATGCCTGTTGCCTACTGCCTACAAAACCATGCCTGTGTCCGCTTCTGTATCGAAACACTGCAACACTAAGAGAAGGCACAACCAGTTGTGTAGTCTGCTGGAAGACATCTTCCTCTTTTTAAAGTAATTTTGTCCAATGCATTTCATAGTTCAAAACAATGTTAAAAATGTGCTGGACTTGTTAGAATCATTTCCCCCCTTCTCCTTCCCAAATTCTGCCCCCTCAATTATTCAACTTTATTACTTGCTTCCCCACCTGCCCCCAGCCCCCTTATCCGTTCAGCATTCTCATATAATGCCTCCTATATAGCCTCTAAGGATATCCTCTGAGGACATGGCCTCCTCTTTTTTCTCACATCCCATTAGCCTCTGGTTATCTGAACTCCCCAGATGCTTTGATTACTCACAAACTTGCCTGTCCTCTCTGTCTAAGGGCTAAACATGACATTTGAAAAAATGAGTCCATGGAACTTGCCTTCTTGCAGCAGAGAACATAATTTTTAAAACCTATGCAGGCCTATTTTGGCTCAGGACCACAGCACCGGGGAAGGAGGGGTCCATTTCCTGAAGCCAAAACTGCCCCTGGGGAGGGGCACAATTTACACAATTTTGGAGCTTCACATAGACATGCATTGTTTTTTTGGGGGGGGCATTGGCTTAGGGGGGGAAGCAGGAGCTTTTCTTTCCCCTATGCCATGGTCTTGTGCTGAACTGGGCCCCTGTAAGGATTTACTGCACAAGGATAGCTTTCAGGAAGAGGCAGTGCTCCTACTGAATGCTGTCACGTGTACCTCAGCCTTCAGCCCAGACCCTGGTTACTTTCCCAATATGATCCTTTATGTTCCTCAGTTAGCTGCAAGTACATGTAATTGGCGGTTCCACACAGCAATTACTACATAGTTAAAATCCCCATAACTGTCATCTCCATAAGCAACATCCTTCTATTATGTTCTTAGAAGAAAAATAAATACATCCTATTCTTCAAAGGTCCTTTTTCTCCCAGGAATTGTCATAGATTCTTCAACATGTGTTGCTTCCTTGAATTATTTCACAACAGGGCAGTGCATATCTTGCTTCTTTGAGCTTGGCTAATTATTTCCTGTTAACTCACATGGCCACAGCATTTCTGAATGGATGCTTATTCAGCTCATTCTCCAGCTTTTAATTAATCAATTAATTTGTTTTTTAAAAAATCAGGCTACTTTTTACCACTTTCAAAGTGGCTCACAAAATAAAATAAAATAATCTAACAATGAAGTGACAAACAATACTAACAACAGTCCAATAAAGCATAATGGCTAGGGTTGCAATCTTTGGGTTAGGAAATCCCTGGAGATTTGGGGGTGGAGCCTGCTGAGGGCCAGGGTCAGGGAGGAAAGGGACCTCAACCAAGTATAATGCCATACAGTTTCAATTTTCTCCAGGCTGGAGATCAACTATAATTCTGGGAGATCTCCAGGCGCCATCTGGAGGTTGTCAGCCCTGACACTGGCAAACACACAGTCAGGCCCAAAGCAAAACATCATACAGTCTGTTAAATAAAAGCAGGCAGCCATGGGAATTTTAACTGATAGAATGCACTCTTAGTGACTACAACAACCTATATCTCAAAGAGCAAGGAAGTGTCCAAAAGTATCTTCATTTGATCCAACCCCAACCAGAATGACAGTTCATCCCCTCCAAGACTTTGGCTTTCCTGACCAACAATCTCCACCTTATCTGGATTCAGTTTTAGCTTTTTCACCATTATCTTGACCAAGGCATACAAACATTGATTCAGAATAGAGACTGAAGAAGCCAAAGATTAGATAAAGAGAATTGCTGGGTGCTATTACCAAACTGATAGCTGCAACTCCAAAGTTTCAGATTATTTCATTCAAAGATTTCATGTATTAGAGCTCTGGTAAGAATACCAAACCTTGTGGGATACCACATAATAACTACCATGCATAAATACAAGCCAGGAAAAATAACTGCAAATCATATTTCCCTGCAACCAACAGACAGAAAAACAATACAGAAAATGGGGAAATGGAATTATATAATCTGGAATCTCTGTAAATTTATACAAAATGCATGATGTCTATTCTAGACTAAACAGCTAGTATGGAAGCAACCCTATGAGATATTAATGCTCCCTTCATCTGGTTCCATGTGTTGATACTGGCCTGGCTCCTCACTCTGAACAATACAGTATTTGATGCCAATTAAGTTCCTATGCACTGCCTGGAATCTGCCTGCCTTCTGATCATGACTATCCAGACCAGATACAGATGATGTGAAGAGACTGTGCAGCCACACATCCACTAACAACAGGCCTGTATATAGGCCTTCCAAATGTCTGCCCCCATCCTACTTTCCCACTCACAAAGAATTGAGAAACAGAGATAAAAAGGCTTCCACAGACATTATAGGAATTTCCCCAAGAATCTGTGGTAGACCATAGACTCTAGGGGATGCAGCCTACAGCATTAACTGAAAGTGATATCATATCTTCCCCAAACTCCACTCTCCTCAGGTCTCCCAAAATCTCCTGGCACTTGCAGAGGCAGTTTTGGGAAGCATACCTGTATGACAATCGTATGAATGTGCTATTATGTGGGCTGCTCACACTACGTGTATATATAATGTTTGCATACACACATATATAGTTGGGTACCTTAAGCTTATAGTTGTAAAAAGTACTCCTTGGGCCAGAGTACCAAACAGTGTTCTTCACATAATATCTCCTGAAGCATGCAGCTGTAGGAAAAATAATAATTACCCGGCTTTGTCTGTGTGGTTTTTGGAGCAGTCGTTTTTGGTTGAGAAGGAACTGGCTGCGTTTCATGTGAAGCTACAGTAAAAAAAGTTACCAAGCATTTAGAGAAAATCTGGTACAGAATTTATCACACAAAAAGTTTATTTATAAAGCTACTATGGTAGAGTGGCTGGGCCTTCTGGGACATCATTTTGCACAAAATGGAAAGAAATATAAAATGACTGCAACAAAGTTCCTTAATCATATGAAGAATTAGAACTAAAACCTATATTACACTATGGATCTATTGTGCACTTATGAGCATGCTGTAACCTTTAAAAAAACTTGTCAAGTAAAAATTAAAGGACACACACGATTGCCATTACCTAATGTTTCCCTGGGCGTTTGGAGTGTGGGAGGTATTTTTATTTTAGGAAATTCTGGAAACTCATGAGGAGCTAAAAGTTGGAGAAAAGAAAAAAAATAACAATGAATGTCAAAATCCTGAACAAAATATTGTTTGCAACATACTGATTTGATAGGAAAGAAAAAAACAAAATCTCGTTCACCTCTCTATTCCAGTGATGGTGGACATATGTACCCTCACTTGATCAGGCTGTGGGGCGAGTATGCTTTTGGCTGAGCTCCCCTCAGTCGAGTCTGAGTAGGAAGGCACCTGGATTCTACTGAATAGTAATGCAAGGACGAGGACAGAGAACACATGGTACTGGCCAAAGAATCCAGGACTTTTCAGGTCTAACACAGATGCAGATGCAACTCTGTTTTTGCACAGAACATGATCCTTTTTAAAAACTAAGACACAATGTTGGATCCAACAGAAGATTTTTGCATATGCTAGTGCTAGGGTTGCCAGATCCCCGCTGACCACCAGTAGGGGATGGGGGGTAGGGTTGCCAGATCTTGGTTTGGAAACTCCCGGTGATTTGAGAATGGAGCCTGCAGAGGACAGGGGCCTCAGTGGGGTATAATGCCACAGAGTCCATCCTCTAAAGCATCCATTTTCTACATCCATTTTGTACTCTGGAAATGAGCTGTAATTCTGGGGGCTCCCCAGGTCCCACCTATAGGTTGGCATCCATAGCTGGAGCCCCTGGAGGCAGTAGAAATGTACTGAGACTGCACTAGCAACATTCCATCCTAGATGGACTGGACCCAAGACATACAGCCCAATCTTATATCTGTTTACTCAGAATGAAGTCCTATTTGTTTCAACACAATTTACTTCCAGGAAAGCATGCATGAAATTTCAGCATTCATCTTCTTTCTTTGGTGGTTTGGCAGAGAAGGAGAATCGCTTTGTCCCATGACTAGATGGGCACTGTTCACCTTATTCTCTTGTGACTGAACACCCACTACTGCATGTTGCATTTAGCTGGAAGGTGGAAAGGAGCTAATTGGGAGACTGGTGGGAGTGGGGACATGGGCTGCAGCTGTCATCAGCCGCATTATGTCACATTCGAGAATATCCCAGAAGTGATGTCACAGCTCTCTAGGAACAGCTAGAAACACTATGTTTTTATCATAGAGTTTCTAGCAATGTCTAGAGGGGTTTGATGTCACTGCTGGGTTTTCCCTGGAAGTAACATCACCCCATAGGCCTGATGGCCATGTTTTAATTTTTCTCTTGCTGCTGCTCAGATTGGTGGTAGAAAATGGGAGCTGGGGTGGGGGATCCCCGCCTCCACCTGGAAACTGGCAACCTTAAGCTGATTTCAGTGAGATAAACACTGTTCATTGTTTTCTATTTCGAGTTAAATTTTTTGGGACCTGCTGTGTTTGTAGGTACACAGAAAATATAAAGGATTTTAGAATATTATATTTTCTTATGAAAACAATATAAATAAAAAAGATAAATGAATTCATTTTCCTATTTGTGGAGCAGTTCATATATAAATAATGCAACCCTAAGAATGCATTCCCTGGGGGGGAGGGGGGAAACCTTACTGAACATACCTTAGTAAGATTCTGACCAGACTTGCTTAGGATTGTACTCAAACAACTACAAATAAAACACTGCAGGATCTCTTGTTTAAAATTAAAGGCTAAATTGTACATGAAAACAAGGAATATTCAAATTAGTTATACCGTGTGTTTGGCATTTTTGCCAATTCAGGCTTAAGAGCAGTTTACTGTTTTAGAATGAACTGTTTTTCTCCCTGTCAACAAGAAAATGTATCATAGGCTTGATTTTAGATTCATGTACTGAATGTATTTCTTTTTTCGATCAGAATAGGTTCTTGACCATTTACTGATTTCCTGAGAAGGCTCTTTTGTATCAAGGAGAACACTATCTTACAGACCACTTTTTGAAGTTCCAGTGATAAAGCGTATGTGGAAAGGAGCCCCAAATTTATGTTCATATAGTCCTTGGCTGATAATGAAAACCTGCTTATCAATTAGTAGATGTATGACAATCATGTTATCAGAAATAACAAAAAAGGTGCTTTTTAAAAACATGCAAGAACTTTTCCATGCATATAACAGTCTTTGGTGGTCCTAAAAACATAAGAGAAGCCGTGTTGGATCAGGCCAGTACCTCATCTAATCCAGCACTGTCACACAGTGGCCAAAACCCAGGTCCTGTCAGCAAGGTACTGTAAACAAAGTATTTACCCAATGTGTCAAGTGGCAATTCAGCCATAGGGCTTATTCTAGGCTTTGAGGATTCCAGTTCACTTTCAGTATATGCTAAACAAGAGAGAAGAGTTGACATCTGTTCTTCAGACATTCATTACATTGTGGTGACATTGTGCAAACTTCAAGTGATGAGGACAAACTCATAAAATAACTATTTTGTCTTTGAGTCTCACAAATTCAATGACAACAAATTTTGCCAAAGCAAATGGAAATCTTTTCATTAAAAATACAGCAATAGGTACATTATGTCTCTCCAAGCAATAGCGTTCTCTAAAAAAATCTTTAAACTTAATAATTATTGAGAAGGCAAAGAAGTTTCAAAGTTTTTAATGGTTTCTTAAAATTGCAAAACACAAGTTTATGCTGGAATTTTTACCACTATGAAGAAGAAGAAGAGATTGGATTTATACCCCACCCTTCACTTGGAGTCTCAGAGCGGCTTACAAACTCCTTTCCCTTCCCCTCCCCACAACAGACACCCTGTGAGGTGGGTGGGGCTGAGAGAACTCTGACACAAACTGCTCTTTTTCAAGGACAGCTGTGCCAGAGCTTGTGACTGACCCAAGGTCACATCAGCAGGTGCAAGTGGAGGAGTGGGGAATAAAACCCGGTTCTCCCAGATTAGAGTCCGCGCACTTAACCACTACACCAAACTGGCTCTCAATTGGCTTAAATTTGGCTAGCACAGCATCTAAAATGCAACCATCCCACACTGGTCATGCCGAATAATGGTTTAGATCCAGCCAGTAAACAGTGTATCTACTGTGGTATTCATGACTCCATGATTTCAAACTGACACAGGTGCATGGAAGGGTATGGATAGTGAAGCCTGACTTCATTATATAGAAAGAAAAAGGGATGAAATAAAAGGGGGGAGATATACATCCTTCCTTAATTTTTCCACAGCAGAAAAGCTTATTGGATCCAATCCAGTACTGTGCTAACAGGAAGTTGTTATGCTATGTCCTTATCTTTAAGGAACAGCAAGTGTGAATGTTGGGCCATATCTCTTTTTCAGTTAGAAAATGCCCTTCCTATAGTAGCCAAATATCCCCAAAAATGCAATCAACAATCATATTCCACAACAGAACTACCTTGAAAGCTTAAAGCAGCAGAAGAATATTATTTACCTGGGAAACTCTTTGATTCTTCTGAGACACTAGAAACTGTTGGTTTACTGCTTTCCCAGTCTAGTTCAGTCATAGCTGCACAGTTTAAAAAATATTAGTAGCATTGTTAGCATATAACTTCTGAGCGTGAATTAGGTCAAAGCACAGAGCAGAACAAAACTAGTTTTAGAAAAAGCATTGTGAAAAGTGTAATCCCAATAAGGCCTATTCAGAATCAAGTCTACTCAGTGGGGCTTACTCCCAGGAAAGGTTTTTTAGGATTGCACTGTTGTTAAATAATAATAATTTATATGACTCCATAAAATGGAATACTTTTTTTGTTCATTTTAACCTTGTCTTAGTTTTATGTTTAATGCTTTTATGGTTGTTAATCTATGGCTGAGTTCAGACTGGCAGTTTGCCACGATATAGGCGCATTTCAGAAACGTTCCGCAACCGGATTAAAGGGGCCATTCACACAGGCGCATCTGTCCGGCGTTCCCCAGCCGTACTCAACCCGTCTTGTAATGCTTCGCTCCTGAGTTTAAAAGATACCTGGTGAAAGCGATATCAAACCCTGGAAAGCGCGATTATCCCGCGTCCATCCCGCAGCGACAAAGTGTGAATGCCAAAAGCCGTGAGTTTTCTTGTGTGCTTATGTGCATAAATGCATATGTCCAGATTACCAAAAAGAAAGCTGCGCCTTACAGCCGTGCCTCCGCCAGGGGTGGGCCAACAGTGTGAACACTCCCTTGTGCCTCCTCCCTGGTATGCTCCCTCATCAGTGGTGCAGTGTGAATGGGAAAACCCCGAACAGTTTGTTCTGGGTCTTTTTTGCCATGACTCCCTCACGCTTCAAACTGCCAGTCTGAACTTGGCCTATATATTGCTACTTGCCCTGAGCCCATTTGCAGGATAGGGTGGAATAACAACAACAACAACAACAACAATAATAATATCATCTTTCAAAAAAATTCTCCTTATACATAGGCAACTATACGCTTCAAACTGCCAGTCTGAACTTGGCTATATATTGCTACGGGCCCTGAGCCCATTTGCAGGATAGGGTGGGATAACAACAACAACAACAATATCATCTTTCAAAAAAAATTCTCCTTATACATAGGCAACACTGCAGTTAACAATAGCCAGTCCTGCTGTCTCTGGGCAAATGGAAAACATTCCACCACCATTTAGGGCTTGTGCATGAAAACAATCCCCTGGTGGTGTGAGTAATTTAATACAACTAATTAAAAGACTGAGAAACTATCAGGCAGCACTAAGAAATACAAGCTTTCCTGTTACCAAGAAACAAATTCCAGCAGTGAAAAATGATCCAAATTAGTAGAAATGAAATGCAGAAAGGATCACACTGCAGAAAAGTGCATCTCTGGTGTCTGAGCCACAAGAATTAAAATAAAATAAAATTGTGAAAATGTTCTGCTAACCAAAAAACTAGTGTTATTCCTCTCTAAGTTTATACATTCTTTGGATGGCAAACCTTATTTCACTGTCCGACTCTGGCAGAGTCTGGCTGGAGTCTGGAGCTGTTGTGCCTTCCAGCATCCACTTTTGCACAGCTGGTCCCAGAAGAGCCTCTGAACTGCACAAAGAAGGGGGTTTCTCTTCATCCTGCTCCCTTTCCTGCTGCTGCCAGTAGACTTTCTCTGGAGCTCCTCCCTGGTTCTCACTGGATTTGCCTTTTAAAGGGACCACTGGATGCAGGCTACCCCTGGACTCACTCATTTGCTGCTGCCAGTAGACTTTCTCTGGAGCTCTAGGGATAGGTCTTGCCCTTCCTCCCTGGTTCTCACTGGATTTGCCTTTTTGCAGGCTACCCCTGGACTCACCCATTTCCTCTGCTCCTGGAGTGGGCTCTAGTGAAGTGGCATTCAGCCAATTGGCTGACAAGAGGGCTTTCCCATTCCTTGGCACCACCCACCTCCTTTTCCTTAAAGGGCCATTCTCTTTGCCGCTGTGAGTATAAGGAAGCTTCCCCTGCCTGTGGCCTCCCCTGCTGGAATTAGATAAACATATGGAGCAGAGATCCATCAGTGGCTATTAGCCACAAGGTACAGATAGGAACTCTGGGGCAAGTGATGCTCTGTATTCTTGGTGCTTGGGGGGGGCAACATTGGGAGAGCTTCTAGTGTCCTGGCCCCACTGATGGACCTCCTGATGGCACCTGGTATTTTTGGCCACTGTGTGACAGAATGTTGGACTGGATGGGCCATTGGCCTTATCCAAGATTGGCTTCTATTATGTTCTTATGCTATCCAAAAGGGGCTATCTCAAGCCATATTACATAAGTGTCTCAGCCAGCATTGTTTTCCCCCCACCCGAATCCGTGCCCACAACCATCTCACAGGTTGCCAGGCACTGTTTGCATCCAATATACTATTATAATAAAGGTGTGAAACTCATGGATAGCAGTGTTCATAGATCATGACCCAATTGTTATCTCCTAACATCTATCCCTCATCCATTTTTGCCTGCCCAAACACTCCTGTTCCTTTTCCTACCATACCTTTCAGCTCTCTGGAACACTCAGGCCTGAAAAAGCTTCTTGATAAAAAAAAGCTTCTGAATGTTAAAAAAAGAAAATTGCAGTAAGGAAGAAGACCTAATTCTACTGGAGTAAATCCAAAGGAAGTGATGTAGGTAGCTCTAGAAATCGCCAGAAACTCTAAAGTAAACGATACAGTAAACCATAGAGTTTCCAGAAATTTCTGGAGCTACCCTATGCCACTTCTGGGGGGGGGTATCAGAAGTGATGAGCTGCTGCATGCAACACTGTTTTTTTTAAAAATGTTCTCACACGGCCACTCAGAGTGGTGGTGGGCAACAGGAGTGGGGGGCAGGGATCCCCCACTGGGGGAATGGGACCCCTACATTCTCTCTCTCTCTCATCTCTCTTTGTGAGAGAGATCTGCCTTGAGTTTCAGTGAAAAAGGTGGGTTATAAATAAGTTAAATAAACTAAATAAATAAAAATCAGAGATTAGGCCATCTCCACCCTATGCAATTTGTACTCTGACAGGAAAGTGTGCTGGCCACTGGCAAGTCACCATGAATGGACAAGCTTTTCCTGTCACATTGAGCAGCATTTCACATTATTCTTTTCTGACAACAGAAGCAGAGAATAAGGGCAAATTGGGCTTTTAGTTACCATCTTTGTTTACCCTTTTCGATCCAGAAGTTTGCGGAAATGTTGGCAATTTTAATTGCATTGTTTATTGTGTGCATAATACTGGTTTTTTGCATTGTTTTCTAATTTTGTTACCCAGTTTAATTTCATTATTTGTTTGTATTATACTATTTTTATTGCATTGTTCTTAAGTTTGCATTTCAATGAGAAAGGCAGTCTATAGAAATAAATGTCTGTAGCCTTTGACCCAACAGATCAACTTGTTGAAGTGCATGGAACAAGGAATGATGCATTTCCCTTGTTAGGGATGCCATCCTCCAGGTACTACACAGTACAGGTACCTCCAGACTACAGAGATCAGTTCCCCTGGAGAAAATGAATGCTTTGGAGTGTGGACTCTGGAACCTTGTACTGGAGGTCCTTGTCCTCCCCAAGCTCCATTCCCAAATCTCCAGGAGTATCCCAGCCTGGATCTGGCAACTCTTCCCCTGATCCCCCACTAGTAGCCAGGGGGATCTGACAAACCTATCCCTTATCCATTTGCAGTGCAATCCTAAGTACACCTTCCAGGAACTAAGCAAAAGTGATCCTTCTCCAAAGTGATGAATGTTGGCTCTGTTCCCAACTCAGGCCTCCAGTTTAAATGAGTCATACTCATTTAATTACCATATAAAACAAATTCAGTCCAGTTCATTTGAGGTTAATGGAATGAACTGTCTATATAAAAATAAGCAAAATTCTGTTCCATGAAAACAGAAAAAATAATTACCAGGCTGGGATTGTGGGGCGATTTCTTGTACTTCTGATGTCTTGGATTCTGCAGGCCATTCATGAGTCTCATTCTCAGCTGCAAAAAAGTAAAACAAGGGATTTAATGAACATATGAGCCTTGTGTTGTAAAGTGAAACACAAATAATACTTATTCACTACAGCAAGACATAACAAGAAGCAAAGCATTTAAATGTTTAGAAAATAAACTTTCATTATGTCAACTCCCTTTCCCCAACAATGAAAGATATAGGGGAATTTCAAATTACCCTTTTTAATCCGTTATTGTACCGTCCCAAATCTCACCAGTACAGGGGCGGCCATTTCACACAGCCTTCCCCCTACCGGTAAGGAGCTGTCTCTGAAGCTGTTTGGCAGTTCAGACTGTGCCACTTTGTTTTCCCATCCTTTTTTGCCCGCACAGGCAATCTTCATTTTTTTAAACATTCTTTTAAGAGCGCTATAATGCTACAACACAACACCAAAACAGCACAATAGCGACCCTATTGGAATACCTGGACTCCAATGAGATACATGAGATTGGGGGATTTAAAAATAGGAAGCGGAAGCTCGGGAACACACAGTTTGAGAGCATTTTTTTTAATGCTAGCTCCTTCCCAGCTTGCAAACATCCTCCTCCTTTTGATGGCCAGCATTTCAGGATGCCATGCCTCCAGGGAGGACCTGGGGATTCCCTGTAACTTTCCCCCCACTATAGAGAACAATGGAGGGGATAGGGGCAACCTGTTTGAGGGCCCGTAGAATTGGACCCCCAGTCCAATGCTCTTGAAACTTGGTTGGTATCTTGGGAAGAGGCTCCAGCAGCTACCCTGAGAGTTTGGAGCCTCTCCCTCAAGCCCCCTCCCCTCGAGCCCCCAGAATATACCCTCAAAATTCTGTTGCAGACTCAGTTGGGAACCAGATAGATAACTAGATACTCTGTGACTGATACACCACGTTATGCACAGAAGATTAGCTTAGGCTGTACAACATATGATTTCATGGACATGTGAGTTTCCTAGTTTCTAATCATACATGCAAATGGAGAAAATAGGAGACGTATGTGCATGCATACCATACTAATATGAGTTACTCATGCTGTAGACTAATTTGTAAAGAAGAAAGAGAGAATTTTATGAGGGTATTGAAGGTTTGCATATCCACTCTATGTGTCATTTCTGTGCATAAGCCTACTGAGCCTATGGGGATCTTCCACGTAGATGTATAGTAAATGTACAGGAAACCTCTATTCACAAGCACTTTTGGGGGGGGGGGGTTGACCATGCCTAAAGAATGATCCTGGAGTCAAAAAAGATAAGTTGCAAAAATGTTCACTGTAGTAATTCTGTAGAAAATTTGAAACTTATCTTTATTGACTCTTCATTATTTTTGTAACGGATGTTGTTTTTGGTATTCTACTTCCTCCCGTGATCTCTCACTTTTGGCTTCTAAAGAATGATCCTAGCAGATTTTAGTTATTGCCTTAGCAAATTTTGAAACATACATTTGGTCTGAATAAGCCTTTGTGATCTTTCTAATCCCTTCAAAAAAAAGGTTTGTTATCATATCTGAAGGGATAAGAATGCATATTTGGAGCAAGTGGGCAAGAGAACAAAAGCACATGAGCAGCATGTCATGTGAACAGTTAATGTGGAGTTGGGGTTTCTAGAGCAATGCAGTAATGAGGACCTGGGATAAGGAATACAGAAATGTAGCTTCTTGGTGAACAATGCTTCACCCAAAGAGTGATTAACACTTGGAATTCACTGCCACAGGAAGTGGTGGCGGCTACAAGCATGGACGGCTTCAAAGGGGAATTAGATAAGCACATGGAGCAGAAGTCCATCAGTGGCTATTAGCCACAAGGTATAGATAGGGACTCTGGGGCAAGTGATGCTCTGTCTTCTTGGTGCTTGGGGGGGGGGGTCAACAGTGGGAGGGCTTCTAATGTCCTGGCCCTACTGGTGGACCTCCTGATGGCACTGGTATTTCTGGCCACTGTGGGATACAGAGTTTTATATGTTTAAAAAATTATGTACAAGAAAAGCCAACATTTGGATCATTGTTTGCATCTGAATCAATCCTGCAGAAGTTGTAACCCAACATGTATGGTGTAGCCTACTAAGGTCTTCAGGGGGTCTCCTGCATTTGTTGCCAGATTGAAAGTGGAGAACAGGATCACTGTCAGGCATCTGGCAGGCCATAAAAGATGGCTGGCTGGTTATGTTCAGCTTGGTGGGTCAGACTCTGGACAGGCCTGAACACCATTTTCCACCTAGAATCCCACTGTTTACAATCGAGCTTTGTTTCTGCTTACCCAATATTTTCTTTGGTCTTTCAGACATATCCTCTGAGAAAGGAGCTGGTCGTTTCTGTTTAGTTTGATTGAAATCTGGAACAATAAGGTGCACTACACATAAAAGTAAATGAGCCATTCAGTCATTCTGCGTGTATTTGTTTTTAGTTTAAAAGTTGTAACTAAAGAGTGATACAAAACAGGGTGGAGGTAGGGATGGTGGAAGAAAGTTGCAGGAGATGAAAGTAGAAATTATAATTTGGGATTTTTCTTCTTACATTATAGCACAATTTGCAGATGGTTTCTTGAAACACAGGAATCCTACATAGCCCGACCTCACCCCCCAGGTTTCCCTGCTACTAGTCATTGCCATATCCCTTCTGTGAAGAAAGAAAAAGCATTTTTACCTACTTAAGAACATAGGAAGAGCCCTGCTGGATCAGACCAATGGTCCATCTAGTCCAGCATCCTGCTTCACACAGTGGGCAACTAGTTTTCTGGAGGGCCAACAACAGGTCATAGAGGCTCAGACCCCCCTCATATCGCCTCCTGGCTCTGAAATTCAGAGGTTTAGTGCCTTTGAATGTGGAGGTTCCCCTCAGTCACCATGGCTAGTAGCCACTGATAGACTTATCTTCCATGAATCTATCTAATCCAGGGGTATCAAACTCATTTCTTATGAGGGCCAGATTTGACATAAACTGGACTTTGTTGGGCTGGGCCATGTGTAAACTGTGACACACATGGCCCAGCCCAACAAAGTCCAGTTTATGTCAAATCCAGCCCTCAGAAGAAATGACACCCCTGAATCCCCTTTTAAAACTGTTTATTTCTATGGCCATCACTACATCCTCCGGCAATGAATCCCACATTTCAATCACTCTCTGGTAGGGATGCCAACTTCCAGGTGGGACCTGGGTATCTGCTGGAATTACAGTGCATCTCCAGACTAAAGAGATCAATTCCCCTGGAGAAAATGGATGCTTTGGAAGGTGGACTCTGGCATTGTACCCCACTGAAGTCCTTGTCTCCCCAGGCTCCATCCCCAAATCTCCAGGAGCTTCCTAACCTGGGTCAGGTAGCCCTACCCCATCCCCTACAGGTGGCCGGGAGGACCTGGCAACCCCACTCTCCGGAGATGTCTCTTTCCTCCAGTTTTTTAAAAAAATGTAGTTACAACTTTTATTAAAATTACTGTTTTTAACATTTGTTATCATTTGTTATCATTTTTACCTCTAAAATAGCACCTATCTACATTTCTCTTACAACACTAGTAAATAAGATGCAAAGAAGCTCATCATGTTCAAAGGAAAGAGATATCATCACAGCCCAAAGTGTTGAAAGTGAACCCAAAAAGGCTTATCAGGAATAATGAACATCTCAGTCACCTAGTATTGGTCCTGCTAAAGGAGACTTCTCTGACGTTTTAGACTGTGTCCGATGTGTGATGTTCTGAATTACTGTGAAAACAATAAGAACAGAACTTTGAGAAACTTGATTGACCCATATACATAATAAACATGTCTTAGAGCTACTATGTTTGAAATTGTTGCATTCTGAAAGCCCGCTTAACATACATTTTGTCCATTACAGTTAAATTACAAGTTTTGTCTCACACTATAAGTAGCTATGACAACATGTGTACAACTGGGATATATTAAGCAGTAATACTGTTCACGTGCCAGCCATGTACAGAGCACTTTATAGAGTCAAATAAACAGAAATATCAGTCTCTGCCCTGAGATTTTAAGCTACTTTACAATCTAAATTTCAACAGGGGTCAGAGTAGAGATGTGTAGATTTGGCAGCAAGGGGATCATAGATGTTTTTAGCAAAGGCAGTTCCATGGAGTGTAGAAGGCAGAAGCTCAACTGTAGGGGGTCAAATGAAGAGTAGAAGAGAAATAGTTAAGGAAGCAGGAGTAAGGAGCATGTTGCAGGAGTTGGAGGAAACAGGGAAGAGGAAGTCTTAATAGTAGCCAAGGGGGCAGAATGAGCTGACAGAGTGTTTTCTGAGAATGGGGGAAATGGTGTTGTGTTTAAACACAAGTGGGGAAGGTACCAAAGAAGAGAATAACATTGATAAAGTGATGGTGGTAGAGATGGACGGAATAGCATCAAGGGACATGCAGATAAGATAAATGAATGCAAATGTGTGGCCATCTCATTAAAAATGGTGAGGGGGAAAGGAATAAATGATTGACAGAACTAGTGGGGTTGAATTTTTCATTGAGTGAGAAGGCAAGATTCTGTTCAGAAAGTAAGAAGGGGGAAGGCCTTATTAGAGTATCAAAAGTAGAGAAGCAGAAGATTGTTGGATTGGGGGATGGTGCTGTAGTGATGCTACTTGGTGATTAGGAGTAGGAGGACAGTATGAATTTAAAATGGACAAAGCCAAGGTGATTAAGCATAGAGTTGCTGGACAAAGAGGGCAAACCATGTCTGAAATTAATGGGATGGACAAGTGTTCAAACATCAACATATTTCATTTGTAAAGAATGAGCACAGGACATATCTTTGAAAGTAAAGCCAGATGAATGACACCCACTGTAAAGAACGAATATATGAATCACATGACCAGACTCTTCCAAATAAATTGGAACCTACCCTATCCAACCTTAGGTTTTCCACAAGAGATCGCCAGGCCCCTGAAAATGATGGGGGTACACAAGACTGGATTCCTGGACTGGGTGTAGCCATAAGAAATGCTGTACCACTCTTCTGAAAAGATCACTTTTTGTTCAAGTGGAAAACAGTCTCCCTACTGGGAGAAAGCAAACATAGTTTGCTTATTTGCTGGTCAAGCATAGTTCATCATCAAAAGCTCTCAGAACCCTTAAAAACAATGCTATTGAACAAGAAGATTATTAAGACCTGTGGGAAAGACCCAGAACCAAGGCAACTGAAACCAAGGTATATGGTGATTGCTTTGATTCTGCAGTGATTTTATGGTGATGCATTTGAAACTAAATGGATGCCACAAGCAGAACAGAACTATCTTGCATGCCTCCAGAAGCTTTTTTCCTTTGGTGCAGCGAAAGGAGAGGAGGCAGATTGTTTTCTGTCTGCTTAAAATGGGAAGGAACTGGTAGCCAAACCACTGGAAAAATAACATGAATTCAGCCCACATTTATTATTTTCTCTTTCACAAGGTGAGAAGCCCTGCAGTGAGACTTCTTCAGGAAAATTCTGGTCTCCCCTTTGAGGAGAATTCAGTAAGACAATTAAATCTGATCAGCAAAGTAAGATTTGAGAAATTTGCCATCATTGTTAACACAGGCATATTTCATTGTCCCCCAAACTATGCAGGATTTACAGCTGCACTGAATCGTTCATTTCCCAACCACAAACACCAAACATAAGAACTCACACACATTACCTTCTTTGATTACTGTAACTGGAATTCGTGCTTTTGAATCTACCGATATAAACTGAAGGGGGAAAAAAGATATTCTATAAGAATAAAGATATTTGCCATTACACGCATGAGTTTTTTCTTGTTCGGACAATAAATTCATAAATCTCTTGATAAGACAATAACTAGTTCTTTTTGATGGATTCAGATGGGTAGCTGTGTTGGTCTGAAGCAACAGAACAAAGTTTGAGTCCAGTGGCACCTTTAAGACTTCGATGATCTTAAAAATGCCACTGGACTCAAACTTTGTTCTAGTTCTTTTTGAAACTAACTTTTCCCAAGTATAGATATATCATTCTAGTACATACAAGAGTAACTCAACTTCTTCACTTTTTGCCAGCTAAAGCAAAGCCAAGCCTTTAATCTCACTTGTTGGTGATAAAATAAACATTTTACTCTACATACATGTCCATCCTGGCTGTCAAAAGTCTAGCAAGAGAAATCTGAGCCATTGCTGTTAAGATTGTAACGACACATCGTCCAGATACTCTGGGTGGCCACAATATATTTCTTCAGCATTTGCTCAAGAAGCAAACTGTTGCAGTGGAATTCTTAGTCACATTTCCCATTTTAGACAAGGCTGAAGACTGCATCACTGTTCAGAAATTTCAGGGACACTGGGAAGCACCAGAGTCTTAGATTTGTTCCAGAGCTGTCTCCAGCATAAGTGTGCTGCTGAGAGTTTGTTTGTGAGAGTTGTACATTCTTGGCAAGGAGATCCCAGAAAATGATGATGGATGAGTGTTTCTGTCTTTGGGACCTGTAGTAATTCATAACATTCTCCTGCTTCCTATTCTGTGAGGTAGCTTTGCAGAGATTTTTGATCCTGCTCCTGATCATACACCAACTTTAATTCTGGTTCTGCCCCAAGCCCTGCAATCTTGTTTCTTATCCTAGTAAGGAACTCAATATGAACAGTCAACCTAAACCCACAAAGGACCGATGTAATGATTGGAAAGCTTTCTAACCAAGATGAAGTTGAAACACAGATTTCAGTTTCTCTAGACCCAAATATATACATCATTGTCTTCTATGGCCTTTTCCTTACCATGTATAAAAATCTTAAATGATGCAACAATCCAAATGACAGCAAACTCCATTTTACACAAATCTTTTCCTCTGGTAATATGTCTCACTTTTAGTGGAAGTTTGGGATGATAAACCCTTTTAAGTCCACTGTTTGCCCAGTTTGTCCAGTTAATTGTACAACTTGACAAGTGTCCAAATTTCTCAATCAGTCATGAGATTTATAATAGAATGTGAGGAGTCATCTATATAACGTAATATATCATTTGCATGTAATTTAAGCTGATATTCTTTCTCCCCATCTGTATGGTCTGGTCTGCATAACAGCAAATTGTAATGGAAATCCATATGATTAACATAAGAGCATAAGAGAAGCCATGTTGGATCAGGCCAATGGCCCATCCAGTCCAACACTCTGTGTCACATAGTGGTCAAAACTCAGGTGTCATCAGGAGGTCCACCAGTGAGGCCATAACTCCAGAAGTCCTCCTACTGTGGTCCCCAAGAATACAGAGCATCACTGCCCCATCTATACCTTGTGGCTAATAGCCACTGATGGACCTCTGCTCCATATGTTTATCCTATCCCCTCTTAAAGCTCTCTATGCTTGTTGCTGCCATCACTTCCTGTGGCAAAGAATTCCATGTGTTAATTACTTTTTGGGTGAAGAAGTACTTCCTTTTACCTGTTCTAAACCTACTGCTCATTAATTTCATTGAGTGCCCATGAGTTCTTGTATTTTGAGAAAGGGAGAAAAGTACTTCCTTCTCTACCTTCTCTATCCCATACATCATTTTGTGAACCTCTATCATGTCACTGATCGGTAATCATTTCTCCTAACTTTAACCTTTCTTCAGAGTGAAAGTGTTCCATCCCCTTAATCATTTTAGTTGCCCTTTTTTGCACCTTGTCCTATGCTGAAATATCTTTTTTGAGGTGCAGTGACCAGAACTGCACACAGTATTCCAAATGAGGCCACACCATAGATTTATACAGGAGCATTATAAAACTAATGGATTTGTTTTCAATTCCATTCCTAATAATCCCCAGTGTAGCATTTGCCTTTTTTATTGCAGTTGCACACTGAGTTGACATTTTCAGGGAGTTATCGATTGTAAAGATTTTTTATTGCATTTTCTAAGCTAAACCTCTATGGGGTCGGGGGAAGGGAACAACCTAAAACTATGAGTAACAAGAGGTCATTAATACATATTTTGAATTAATCGATGTTTCCCTAATATCAAAATGGTAATACATGAGAGTTATTGCAATAACATTGTAGAGAATAAAGCGAGCATTCAAAAACAGATTTGACTAAAGTGTATGCTTCTTAGCTTAAAGTTATTGATTAATAATAGGTATCAGACAGTCAGAGTTACATTATTATACTTATTTTCTTCCTTTCTGTTTCTTTTCAAACTCCTTTTTATTTTTAGGAGGCTTAGAAGCCATAGCCCCTAATTCTGCTTCAGAGTCTAAGGATTCAGCCGACGAGGAGTTCTTAGAACTTTCTTCATTTTTGTCTCCTTCTTTTTCTGCATATTTATCATCCTCCAATTTCTCAGGTCCATCTTTATCTTGTTGTTGTTGCTAAATAATTTTTTTTTTACTTTAAGAACAGAGTCAATCTTTTCTTTCTT